CACTCTTTCAATAAAATACTTGTGTTACAACTCTCTAAAGTAACTACAAATTTCAAAACTAGTGTATCACTCAACACAGTACCATTTGTCATCACCCTAATAAAACAGGAATGATTTTGCTTTTGATTACTTCACCATTGTTTTTCAATAATAAATATGTCACTGAAGTTCCAGATTTTTTTTTCCACAGACACAGTCAGCCATAATTTAAATCCTAGAATTTCAATCTAAATCAATTGAGCAATTCCAAAAGGAAGTAAGCACAAAGGCATGCTCTTTGAACTTTTAGTTCCTTATTCCAAAGAGGAACATTGGGGCTTGAAGCATGGATATCCACAAAAATACTGTTGATAGGAAAAGTGAAAAGGATCGTATGACTCCTGGCCAATTACTCTTCAGTATCAATTTAATACCTTATTACCCTCTGCACTCTGTGACCTTATTATTCAACTATTACCTCATCCCCAAAACAACATAAAGGCATATTTTATCTCCTGCTATAAACTGTCTACTCTAAGTTTCTGTCTACTTTGCATGCCAAACACAAAAACCTCAAGGAATTAAATACCTCTTCTTTGAACTTAAGTGTCAACTTACATTTGGTGAAGCACCTGCGCCATGGCAACCCCGTTAGTCAAGTCCTGAACATCTCTGCAAGGTGCAGCAGTATGGAAAGTCTGCAACTAAAAGAGGGAAAACCATTGTGTTTCTCACTCAGTAGTCAGGTGTGGGAAATTAGTTACTATTTTTCCTTCTCTTCAAGGCACAAGCATTTTGCAGGGTGTCTTGCTACTCAGGAGAGCCAAAATCCTTTTTGAACTGTTTAATTTTTAAGCCAACCCAATTATCTCAGTACTTGTGACTGTTGATTCTGATTAGTGGCTTAAAATGTTAGTATTAACATGCTTTGCTTTTTCAAGCTAGTCCTTTTATTGTAAATCAGATTATGGGATACTGACTTTGTAAAATAAAGTCATATTTAACCATCCCTCAAATCTTGTGGGAGTGCTTAGTTCTGGACATGTAGCTACCTAAACAAAAAATGGCATCAGAAGAAAGGACAAACGTTGAGCGGAAACAAGAAGAAAAAATTCCATCTTTTACTACAAGCATTTGGTAATAGAAGTCATAACATCAACAGAGACCCCTGAAACTATCAGGGGGTTAACAATGGAAGGGAGAAAAGTATGCAAAAATAGTGGGAAAAACAGTTGTCTCAGAGCTTCTGCACACTTTAAGGATATGAAGATAGCTGAAAAAGACTGGAAAAGATAAAAGATTCTTCCCCAGTTGCCTTTTCCAGGAGGTCAAGTTTGTAGTGACCTTTACCATACCCATCTCCTCCCACTGTGTCTTTCCCAGGATCATCAGTCCTCATCTATTTAGCCAATTCTCATATGGAAGCTCTTCCATACTTCCCATGAGGATGGTCATTTTTCCTGTTGGTTTTCTGGGTTTCCTGCATTAAAGATCTGTAGGATGGAATTACCTCAATGTTAAAATTTTCTCCCTGTTTTGGATACTTTGCATTTTTAAAATCTATCCCCAAGGTCATAGTTAACACTTTGACAGAATTCTCTATTATCATTGCAAGATTTTATTCCTCAAACAACAATCAACTCAGAGCTAACTATTCTAGGTGAGAGAGCCATTTCCATACACATCAGTTCATCACTTGGTTGCTCAGGAAACTGAGAGCTCATCAGCAATTCTTTTAAGCATTTTTTACAATGAATAAAACAGGAAGGAGAAATGTGCTGTTCATACTATTAGAAGGTGTATATGTTGAATAGAATGGATGCAAGAACAGATCCTTATCACCTCTGTCCACTGAGAAAATTAACCTCTCCCACTTACTAGGTTTACAATATCCTAAATTATCTGTCCATCTGTGAGAGGGGCTTCCTAAACAACCTGTGAAATGTAAGCTTCTTCAGAGGCCACTGCTGAATGACCTTGTTCAAGTAGCTTCATTTCCCAAAAGCACCTGACAAGAGTGGTGGAAAAACACGATTTTCAACTGTGAGAATTTGAGGCAGTCGTTGTCCATTCTATATTTATAAAGAGTGACCACTGATTTTTTTTTTCTTTTTGCTTGCTTCAAAAAGAGTCTAATCAAGCCAAGAAGAGAAAAATATGCAGAGCAAGGGTTTACTTGTTTGGTTTTCCATTAAAAATGTATTCATTAAATCCTGTATTACAGCAAGTGAGAAGTCAGTAATCCCTGGTAGGTTACGTAAAAGACTAAGTAGAGCAACAGAAGCTGGAGCAGCTGAGATTGACAGCTGGTTTCTAGTACTACAGCAGCCTGAACGCCAACCCAAGAACAGGTGTGCAAGCTCAGGAGTCAACAATGAGTATGCTGGAATGCAGAGGCCTGTGGCACAGTATCAGGATGCTGCCATTTGGATACACCCCCCTGTAAACCAAAGACATTGCAAAGCACAGCTACTACCACTTCACCCCAGCCTGTGAGGACAGGTAGAGAAGGCTTAGAAAACCCTGTGATGTGCAGCACTGCTTTATGTGTGCCAGCATCTCCCAGAAAAGAAACAGCTAGTTAAAATTAAGCAAAAAGCAGGACGGAGAGTCTTAGCTTCTCCATATATTTAAAAGTTACACAAACACCTAGAAATAATTTGAGAGTAGACATATTAATTACGGGTTCTACAAACCCCATGCCAGCCCAATCATTTCCTCAAAACAGATTTTTACTATAATTATAAACCCAATGAAAGTAGCAGGCATGGGGAGGAGGCTGGCAGAAGCAGCCATAGACTTAAGCACTGTAGCAGTACTTTTTTTTTTTTCCAAAATGTGATTAGTTTTACTAAATATAGCCTCAAGGACATGCTGCTGCTCAGCTAAAAACCATTTCACTAATCTAGTTTATAGATACCCTGCCACTTGCTGCTGCAAGCAACTATTTTTCTCTCAGACAGACAGCTACTATGGCTCACAACAGAGTCATCATAAAATTTAGTTTTGTAACACATAACACTTAATGCCTTTTCTCTGGATCTGCTGCAGGTTCTGCCACCAAACAGATGAAGATAAAACAAGTCTTCACATGTAGACTCAGTAGAAATCAACCTCTCCTACTCTTGGGAAGGTTTCATCCAGACAACGTAGGGCTGAGATTCTCCATTTTATACCCAGATTACACAGACTAGGGACCGAAGTTTTATAGAGTTAATCAAAGAGCTTTTAAAGTAACAATAAACATTCCAATTCTTAATCCCAGAATATTAACAAAATAACTCAGCCAGTGGGCAGAGTTAACATTACCAATGCTGCCCAGGGGTATATCTACTGCTGAAAAAACTGCTTTAAAATCTTACTACACATCTATCCTTCACTTTGGAGACAAAAACAGAAGCAGCCTCAGAGCAGAACAGTACCAAAAGATATTCAAGAAACTTTTACTCTACAACAGTAAAGAAAACACCTATTGCAATGCCACCTAAAGATGGAAGAGACCACCCAGACCTACTGCTGCTACTCTTATCGCTCCATTCCTACTCAGAGGCAGCAAATAATAAGGTTCACTTAATATATACTAATCAAGGTTTGTCTTTCTGACTTATAAAATTGCTTCTGCATCAGACTTATGAGTTCAATCTTAACAGATATTACTTAAGTCAATGTACCTTGGAAACTCAAAAACATTTTCCCTATAATTTAACTCCATTATGATTTCCCTGTAACATCCTTGAAAGTTTAAATTCAATGACACCTGGGTTGCAGAACCAACAGATAACATTCATATTTACATTTTCTTTCTTCTCTGGACAATGTCTGTTTTCTGATATAGAATTTGCTTTAAAAAAAGAAACAAACCAAAACCAACCAACCAAACATAAAAACCCCAACAAAACACAGAACAATGAAACAACAAACAAACAACCAAAAAAAGAGAAAAAACAAACAAACAAAACAAAATCTGGCAGCACAACACAGAAAAATCATTAGCATGTCTTTGCTATATTAATGAGTAAATAAATTGAGAAACCCAGTTGCAGAACCCTTTTCAGATACACAGCATTTCATTTCCCCCTCCCTAAATATGCTGAACATTTTTCTATTATGCAGACTGAAGTTCAAGTTGAAAGGACATCTGCAACATACCTTATTCTTAACTGTCACTTTCAACTAAGTTGTAAACTAGGCCGAGGAAGGAGACTGCTAAATTCTAAACCTACAACCATGCACCTGGCAATGCATCTGCCCAGTGCTGCAAACCAACCCTGAACACACATGAGCTGGATGTTCCCTTACCTAAATGCCACTACACAAAGCTCCTTCAGTTTAAGGCTAAAGTTCATTAGCATTTTCTTTAAAATTCATTAAAATTACAGCTATGCACTATACTAAAAATGGTAATTATCCCTGAAATACTGTAAGCAGGAGTTATGAAAATTGTAAAGGAGTTCAGAACTGCTGGTGGGATTTTAGAGACAGAGTTCAGGAATGCATTTTCTCAAGCTACTTCACTGATTGATTTTGCAATTCAATCGTGGTGGAGTTATGGTTATTCTTACCCGACTACTGAGTGGAAAATACAAAGTTTAAGAGTCCAAAAAAGAAAACGAATGCATAGATTGAACAAAAAAAGATATCCACCTCCAGAGAGGGAAACATAAAACAACTAAAGTGCTGAAGGCCAACAAAACATCAGGAGCATACAAGGCCACTAAAAGGAAAATGGAGGGAAGAAAAGTGGGAATTAAATTTTAGCGATTTATTACAGATGTTAACTCACTAAAACTTCTGTAGTGTCATGTGGAATGTAAAGGGGACACCCACTCTGGTAGCTGCTCCTGTCACATTTGTCAGCTTCATTCCTGGATCTCCACAATGCTCCTAGAACACCTCCCATAGGCAAAACACCTGCTGTTTCTAGAGAAACCCTTTACATCACGTAATTGCAGCTTCCCTGCCAAGATTTCATGCAAAACTTCAATTTCATAGAGCTCCTTCTCACCAAAAATATTGCATCTGCAAGATGAGAATTACAGACATGGAAGCAAAAGGAACCTGGAAAGAACAAGGGATAAAAAGAATGCAAGGTTGATTGATGAACAAAGAAGTGCTTCTTGCACAGGCAGCACCACACATTTAGGTGTGCCACGACTGACTGCAATTAATGCTTTAACCAACTGAAAGCTGGGATGAAATGTTCTGAGGTTTCTGCTCCTGTCAACTCAATTCAAATTAATTGCATACATTTATTATTATTGCTAATTACTGAGCAGTTTCCGTGTTGAGGGCACTGCTGGAGAACCACTAATTGGACCTACAGGATACTCAAAAGACCGCATCTACACTTCAAGAGTGTTTGCATGAACATTTTATTGGTTGTAAAAACACCTGCTCCTCAGCACGGGCCTCAGGATTGCAGCCATGTCTGCATCCCGACTGCTCCCTCGCCACCTGGGCAGCTCCCGCGGCCCTGGGAGCACCTGAGGGGGCCAACAGCTGGGAGGGCAGAAGGGAGGGCAGGAGGGAGGGCAGGAGGCCGCCAGGCCCCGTCCGGCTGCGCAGACAGGCCCGGGCCCG